CGATTACCGTCATTGACCATTCATCAGTGTGATCCTAAGTCGCAGGACCATCAACCCCTCCCCCTCACCCTTAGTCATGATGTGGCCGTAACAGTTTAGGGGTAGACAGAAAGCGTCAAAGCGTGTGGGAGACAGAATATGGGAAAGAGAACAAAAGCGACAACAGAAAAAACAACAAACAGACCGCTTACGCAATCAAGTTGAAGTGAGAGAGATAGACATAGAGAACCAACCGTCAACGTACTAGCCATGGACACAGACGACTTGTTGGGGTTCTCGACATCGGATGTATCATCCAACAACACACGCATTGTACCGGCACAGTCGCTGCCACAGAACTTTTCACAATCTCTTTCAAGCTCTTTCCCCAATAGACCGAAGACGCTTTCAGAGAGCTTCCAGGACGGTAAGATTACGAAGGCACCAAGTAGAAGGAAGAGCGTGAAGAAAGAAGACAATGACGACGATGAAGAGGAGTCACAGGATCGGAAACGAAGAGATAATATGAATGAGAAAATTCAAGAACTGTTGGCTCTGATACCTGACCATTACTTTTCCGACCCCAAGGATAAGAGTAGCGGGACGAAGGATGGAAAACCAAACAAGGGACAGATATTGACAAAGGGCGTTGAGTACATCCAAGATCTACAGAACAAGATTGACGAGAATAACAGGAAGGAAGTGGGGCTGGTATGGAAGTTGAAAAAGCTTATTGATACAAAGGGGATTCAGGTGAACGATATCAACCTGAGTAATACCAGCGCAGAAGTTGTACTTGCAGGCATCGGTGTTGGTCCATTGGCCGGGACACAGGAGCCTCCTGTCAAGAAAAGCCCTAACAACAACTTTGAATACGGAGGTTATGATCAATACAGTTGACGCCGCCTCTCCTTTTGAAGCTACATTGGGAAATGGAAGGAGTTACAAATATTTACAAGAGTATACACTGAAGAATTGGACCCCTTTTACAAACTTGGCATTCTCATGATCACCTTCTCCTTATTCTCGGAAAACTCCTGTAGTTGTTTCAGGATCTTTGAATCTTTCCACTTATCTGGCAATGGTGTTATTGCGTAGTTCTTCGTAGCCCAATAGTAAATGTCCCAGTCCAGTTCATCGAGTAACTTGTCGTACTCATCGAGCTCAGCTTCTGTGAACGAGTCCAAGTATTTCTTTGAGAACCTGGAGAGCAAGAGGTCGGTCTCCAATATACCTCTCTTACGGCTCTGATACGTCAAACGGGCCCTCTTGGTCTTCAGGTCTTCATTCTGACGTTTGAGTGGTTTGATCTTTAGCTTAACATCATCAGAGCCCTCCACTTTCTCCGCAATGACTTCCGGTGTGTTGTGCAGTTTTTGAAGTCTTGGGAGACAAGATGAGAACTGTCTTCTAATCACAGTGTTGTTTCTGAGCATTTCTAAGTTTGTTGAAGACGTGGAAGCTGAAGAAGAAGGTGGAATAAAAGGGCAAACTCGTCTAAAAAACTGAGGTTCCACCCGGTTGGAAATCGGCATCGAAAGAAGGCCCAAAGCCAAAAAAAAAAGCATGTAATGTCCGGATGTTTGGGTGTTTGGGTGTGTTAAGAGGAACCAATGCTACTACACATTCCCTCAGCTTCCGCGTTAGGAAGTCTAACTCGAAATGTAAACAAAGCGATATCCACAAAAAACAACAAAAACAAACAAAATTGTTTACGCGTTTCAACAACAACAACACCAAGCAATAGAAGACCAGAAGGCAGACGAAACGCAGAATGTCACGCTCGAGCTCCATTAGAAGACCCGATGTCATCCGCAACGACAGATTCCCGCTACTTGAGGTTTCAGAGCTATCGGTTTGCTTGAGAAGTTGTAACCTCACTGCACCAGAGGAAGACCTCTATAGACCGACCCCAATATTTGTTCAAAATTTGTTCATCCAGATCTTGGATACCTTCCTCTCCTTGCCGTCAAGTGTTTTGAAGTCAAGACAGAGAAGATTGCTAGAGGAGGAGGAAGAAACCCCTGGGGAGTTTGAAGATAGCTTGGACATTGTTACGCTTCAAATGGTTTTGTACAAGTTCTTTGTTGATTGTGGAGTTGACGATTTCCTCATTATGGACTTGATTAAGCCTGAGCCGATACGTTTGAAGAGGTTGCTCAGTGCCGTGGTGAACTTTGCAAGATTCAGGGAGGAACATTTGTACGATAACGAGCAGATTATTCACGATAACAATGTGAAGTTTGAAAAGCATTCAGAGATGTCTGCTGAGAATACCAGATTGAAAGAGAACATCTCAAGATTGATCAATGATAATGATAAGATAAAATCAAATCTTGACGAATTGAATAAACATAATGAAAGAGTTGAATCTGAGTTGAGAAGCTTGAAAAAGATCCAAGAGAGTTTGACCGCTGAACATATGAACTACAAGACTGAAAAATCACGGTTGATTCAGGCTTTGGAAGATCATAACTATTTGCTATTAGAATCTAAGAAAGACCTCGAAAAGATGAAGAACTACATCATTGAAAGCCCTGAGATAATATCCAAAATCATCTCTGATATGCAGGAATCCTTGAAAGACGATCAGCACACTTTGAACGAATTGGAGTTGAGGTCGAGAAAATTGGCAATCACTATTGAAAGCGTCGGCATAATTCAACAAGATTTGAAAAACTGTGTCAAATTAGTGGATGAACTCCAAGTAGAGTCTAACAAGGAAAACATGAACAATAATAAGCTTAACCAACAGAAGGAATTTTACGAGGACAGATCCCTTAAACTGAATGAGTTGGAACGTAAGATTCAATTGTTGCTACGCCAGATCAAAAACATGGAGGACAAGATTGAAAGAACCTCTGAACAGAAGGAAGCGAGAAGAGGAGAATATGAGAAGAAGATGAAACAACTATCAGACACTTATGCAAACGCTCTAGCTGAACAAGCTGTCACAGATAAAGAATTGCAGAAGAAGAAGATGTATATCCAATCTGTACAGAAGAACATGCAAGACATTGAAATCGCTTTCAAGAAGGAATATGATGAAACTACCCTCGAATTGCAAAGGTTGAACACACATGTGAAAATTTACCTAAATCAACTAGAAGAGAAGTTACAATTATGATGGTACAATCAACAGATTAAATAATGAGAATAACAATATGTATGTTTAACATTTATTCTACGTGTTTATAGATATATTTATATGGGAGCAACACAAATTCATTCCAAGATGGCCTTCACACAATCATCGTATGGTGCATCCAACCCTGTCCAGAGTTTGAATTGCTCAACACCTTGGTTAACAAGCATCTCTAAACCTGGAATGGTTTCCCAGCCGTACTGAGATGCCAACTCCATGATTGGTGTGACTGAAGGCTTATAAGCCGCTTCTAAAAGGGATCCTTTATGTTGTTTGAAAACAGATTCCAACTGAGACAACACCTCTGATGCAATTGGTTTATCACCTGGAACACATGAAACTGCAACATCGACACCTTGAGCTTTAGATGCATCCAAAATTTCAACACCAAACTCTGAAAAGTCCTTGACGAGTTCTTGCAATTTCTCTGGTGTTCTATTCAGTAGGTAAACCTTCTTGCAACCAAGTTTAGAAAGTGCAAAAATCGCAGCTCTTGAGGTTCCACCAGCGCCAATTACAAGACCAACGCTTGGACTGGTAACACCATGGGACTTGAAAGAGTTCTCTATCCCCTTGTAATCTGTGTTATAGCCTGCAAATCCACCGTTTCCCAATGGAACAATGGTGTTACATGCGCCAATTCTCTTGACAGACTCATCAACTTCCGTTAAAAGAGGGATAACATCACGTTTCAGGGGAATTGTCACAGCACACCCTCCAAAGGATGGATCCTTCATGAGTTTAGCCACTTCAGAGGCATCTGTGGTTTCAAATTTAGTAAACTCATGTGGGAGATCATTGGCTCTGTAACACGTTTGATGTAACAATGGTGATTTCGAATGCGAAATTGGTGATCCAACAACATAGAATTGCTTCTTTGGTGTCTTGACGCTAGTGACAAAGGCAACAACTTGTTTTCTCAAGTTTTCAAACTCAGATTCCGTTTTACATATTGGTGAACAGAACACATGGGTGCGAACCTCCTCATACAAAGGTTGTCTTCTCTTCCAAATTGATCTGATATCGTCGGTGTCCAATGGTGGCCTAGACAAATCTTGACCGAGGAACTTGGCAATTTCACTAATATCTCTTTGAACTTCCCAAACCAAACCGTTCTTCTTCTCTCTGAACTCCTTCAACAATTCTCTAGCCTTTGGAGTTTCAACAAGACCACCACCTGTAGTGATAACACATGCCTTATCATTTTTAGCCAAAATTTCAGAGAATAATTTGAGTTCCTCCTCTCTAAATTTGTCCCAGCCATGTGCTTTAACAAAATCTCTTATATCACCAAATCTCTCCTCAAAGATAACATCCAAGTCCAAGCTTCTATAGCCTGTGGCCTTCACAATCCAATTTCTGAGGGTGGTCTTACCTGCAGCTCTCATACCAATAATAGCAATACTAGCACGGCTTGCAACACTTGGATCCTCTGGCTCGAACCCATCAAGCTTAGCACCAAGTGAAGAGTGCAAGATATCCCACCAACCTGGCCATGTTTTAGCGGTACAGTGACGTTCTTCAACGACGACAGGACCATTGGAAACGAGACCGGCCAAAAGAGAGAAAGACATGGCAACACGATGATCATCATAACAGAAGATACCACTTTCTGGAGTCTTGAGGTCAGCGATGGAGACACCGTAAATGTCAATACCATCGTCACCACCAACAGCGCGGACGCCAAATTTAGCCAATTGTGTGCACATTGCAGAGATTCTGTCACACTCTTTGACTCTCTGGTTGGCGATACCGTAGATTGAAGTCTTGTTCTCCTTTCCATCAGTGGCAACGGCAGCGACAACAGAAGCAGTCAAGAATGCATCGGTCATTGGTTCCATATCAACAGATGCAAGAGGTTTCAATCCACCTGGCGCAGGACCAGTCACTGTAGTTGATGTTGGTGTTTGAATAACCTTGCATCCCATTGGTTCCAAGATGTCTTTGGCGAAACGAGCATCACCTTGCAAAGAGGAAGAACCAATGTTTGGGATTGTAACAGTAGTACCGGTCATTGCAGCGAATGCCAGTGGATAAGTAGAAGAAGAAGCATCTGATTCAATGACAAACTCCTTTGGTGAAACATAGGTACCCTTTGGAATCTCATAGGTATAGTTTGGCAGAGGCTTAACTTCAATACCGAATTGTTTCATCAACGCGATAGTCATGTCAATGTATAAGATTGAAATTGGCTTACCACCAACCAACTTCAAAGTTACTGGTTCTTCAGCATATGGGGCTGCCATCAAAAGAGAGGAAACGTACTGAGAGGAGACAGTAGCACCCAATTCGATGACTCCACCCTTCAATGGCTTGTTGGCAATCTTTAATGGCAATGAACCTTCGTTCTTAAGATATTCAATTTCAGCACCGTTAGAGCGCAAAGCATCAACAAGAGCACCGATTGGTCTTTGGCCCATACGGGCATTACCAGTCAAGTAAGTATATTTGGATTCGTCAGTGGCTTTGACCAAAGTAGCAACGGATGTCAAGAATCTTGAAGCTGTACCTGCATTACCCAAGTACAATTCAGTTGGAGAGGAGACCAACTTACCACCATTACCTTTGATGATCAAAGTTTCACCTCTGTCTTCCCAGCGTATTTCAGCACCTTGTAAACATTTGATTGCATTCAGCATGTGTTCGACATCGTCAGAGTGGAGAAGGTTAGAAATTTTACATTCACCTGTACCCAAAGCAGCGAGAACAAGGGCACGATTAGAGATCGATTTTGATCCCGGTGGAGTGATGACAGCTTCAAAACCAGATTTGTTTTCGAATGGGTAAACCTTGGTTTGGTCAGTCAAGACGAATCTCAAATCTTCATCGTTGACATATGAAGCAGAGCTCTCGTAGCATTCACCGATAGCTTTCAACAAGACGACTTTTTTCTTTGAACCATCATTCTTCTTGTCAATAGCCATCTTCTCAAGCAAGATATCCACAGGAGTTCTTCTATCGACTGTCATCTTCTTTAATTGGGTCAGAGATGTTGGTAAGCCGTAGTTACCCAATACTTTACTCAGTCTAGCGACTGCGGAAGCTGGGAGAATGTTCAAGTATCTTGAGAGCTCAGCCTCTAAGATTGATCCCACAGAGACACATTCACCGTGTAATGCCTGTGGAGTCAAGATTGCCTCAATGGCATGACCAATGGAATGACCAAAGTTCAACAAATTTCTCAAGCCACCTTCCTTTTCATCACTGGAAACAACGTGAGCTTTGACTTTGATGGATTCAAGCACCAATTTGAAAACGTGATCCTTGATTGGGGTTAAATCAGTATCACCTTCTTCGTCTCTCTGCTTAATGGTGGACAGGAATTTTTCAGAGTTGGCCTCCAATCTCGAGAATTCAGCTTCGTTCCAAATCGCAGCAGTCTTAATGACTTCAGCAATACCATTGATGAACTCTCTCTCCGGCAAAGTGGACAAGAAGTTCAAATCAACAAAGACATATCTTGGCTGCCAGAAGGCACCAATGAAGTTCTTACCCAGTGGTGTATCCACAGCTGTCTTACCACCAATTGAAGAGTCAACCATCGCCAACAGAGTTGTTGGGACCTGAATGACCCTGACTCCTCTCATGAAAGTTGCAGCAACATAACCAATCATATCGCCAATGACACCACCTCCGACCGCAAGGATCACGGTATCACGTGTGCAACCTCTCTCCAGCAAGTAGTCCTCAATCTCAGCCTTTGTCTCACGGGTCTTGTGAGCTTCACCTGGTGGAACAACATAAGAGAGAACACGACAACCCTCCGGCAAGTACTTGTGGAATTCTCTACGGAATTGTGTTAAGTAACCTTTCTTCTCGATGTTACTGTCAGTGATGAGAACATAGGTTGATGACTTCTCAGTAGCAAGCACCGTCTTCACGATGTGCTCCATGAGGTCAAATCCAACATGGATGGTTTCATTACCAAGGATAGAAACCTTCTCAACGGACATGGTTCAGAAAATGAGTCTCTAACTGTGCTTTGTCTCCTTCTTTAACCGCCAAAACAAGAGACACAGCTGACAAGGTTGTCCGGTTTTTTTCAGCTTCCTGCTGATGCAGTCGATGACTCGACGATTTCTCCAGTGTTGCGCGAACCAAGTATGTAGCTTATACGAGCCCTTCAAACTTTTCTTAAGGCCCATATCAATGTTATAGAAGACAGCATTCGAGTGATGGATTATCAGAATAGAATTGGCTCAAAGAAAGGGTGTATGTATGCTACTGTTTCGTTGATTCACCTCATTTACTAACCTTAGGTTGAAGCTGGTGGAGTTGCCTCGGAGTCACAACTCAACGTTCACAGGAAGCAACGAGTATCGAGGCTCATATCGTCCCAGTTTGATTTCGAATCGGACCCATATGTGTTTAAGAACCACCTTGGTAGCCTTGAGTGCAGGCTCTGTCTGACGACGCACTCGTCTTCGGAGTCGTACCTTACACACACGCAGGGAAGAAAGCACCAGCTGAACCTGGCGAGACGTGCTACGCTTGATGCTAAGCAGCAAGGTGGCACTCACCAAGCCACAGGCACAACAAGCGTACAGAAGAAGTCATACGTCAAGATTGGTCGACCTGGCTATAAAGTGGTGAAGATCCGTGACGTTGACGCTATGGAGCTGGGCCTTCTGATAACGATAAAGTATCCAGAATTGAAGCAAGGCGAGGAACCTCTTTACAGATTTATGAGTGCATATGAACAATCGGTTGATACTGACAGTCAAGGGTGGCAATACCTTGTTGTTCATGGAGAGCCTTATGAGAACGTTGCCTTCAAGATTCCCTCGACAGAGATCACCAGAAGTTGGGGTTATTTTGATGAAGACTTGAAAGAGTACTACGTTCAACTGTTCTTTAAGAGTCCCGAAGAATTGACATAGTATAGAACCATAATATAGACCTAGCTACACAGCAAGCTTCTTCAACAGCATCAATAGAACCGTAGAGATAGAGAGAGACAGACATGGAGAGACAGACGGCCTCGAAGCCTGCCATTATATTCACGTGTCAACAAGCACAGACCATGAGAGGATTTCCGGGCTTATGTAAACAAGTTGACGGATAAGTTTGCCTTTTTTTACCTCCGCTTTGCCACGATTTTAACAACAACAACGACAACAACGACAGCATCACAGAAGACCATCCCTTTGTTTTCGATCTAGAATGGTATCCTTAGAGCATTTCCAACTCCTGAAACGTGATGACGATGATTATTGCTACGGATACAGCTGCTCCAGCAGCTGGGAATGGGCTCGCTGGATATTTTTTGTTCTCTTCATTATTGCCCTGATAGCGTTGTTGATGACTGCTTTTAGAATCAACAGACGCCGTGGACGTCAAGGGATAGCACCGATAAGAGGCACAGCGTGGATGACACCACCTTCGTACTATCAGGCCCAGAATACAAGACAAGATGCGTATGTTCCACCTTATACAGAACAGACCAATGATCAGGATATGGGTTACTACGACAACCAAGGAGTGTTCCATATGAATGACAAGGTGAGACAGGCTCCCTCGTATCATTTGTCCACGCTGGTACCTGACGAGACCGGTGTAAGTGCACCACAGACAGCAGCTACGTTGACACGAGATCCAAACAGCTCATTTGATCGTGATTTCAACCGTTACTACGCTGGGTCAGGAGGGGCGCAAGCAAATCCCGTCTCCCAGCAGCAGGGACAACCTCAGTCACAGAACATAGATGTCGAGGAAGATTTGACCTTTACTAGACCTACAGGACCACCTCCAGCACATACGAGGAAATGATACAGGACACTATCCCCCTAATTATTGCAACTTTTTTTTCTTTTTCAGGCAAAAAATGATATAGTTCCTCACAACATAACGGTGTTCTTCCAGGCCGCATTCAATTGTAAGCAGGGCTTCCTGGTGTGCGGGTCATTTTTAGCTGATTCATATCCGGTGATCACGGCAGTCCCTCATGCAGCACAACTTCTACAATAACTTCCGAACCTGAGGTGAATTGGACCTGATAATCTTTACCCACCGATGCATGGCCCACTTTTGTACTGAGGGTTGCGTCCGATCGAAACATCTGTTGTCTCACAAACGTTGGTACCTGTTTTAATCACGAAAATAAGTCAGTCAGGTAAACTAACTGAACCATGAAACACAGCCAACAGTGACGCATTGTCAACATATATTGGGCGGGGGTTAGTGAGTTATTACGATGCAATTACATATTCTATGAAACGTCTGAGGCGTCCGAATACTTCTATGAATGGCTGCACAAGATAACAATCATGTGTTTTATGGAATTTATGGAGTAACCTCCAGAAGTTATATGCATGCCAGTTCCAAGCTTATTGGCATTCTCTGCCCGTGGTTAGACCCTAAAGTATAAATGGTGGTGAAACCTACCCAAATGTAAGCTTCTAACTTGTAATATCTTCATATGATTCTTATTCCTCAAGAATGAAATTGTTACAACTGCTTGCAAGTACGTTATGTGCAACGTCACTGGCGATTGCGGATATCGCGCCAATGAAATTTGATATCCTTAGAGGAACAGATATGAGTTCAGCTAAGAAGAAACCTAGACTACTCAAGAGGGACGCTGGTGATATCGTCTTTTCCGATGTCTTGTACCAGGAGAAATCCTTTTATTCTGCCAACATTACTATCGCAGGAACTGAATTCCAGGTTCAATTAGACACTGGTTCTAGTGATTTGTGGGTTTACGGTGCGGACAACCCTTTCTGTGCTAGCAATGGTGGAGTCGTTGTTAACCACATCGATCAATCGAGCACGGTTGTGACTCCCGCTGAGGCTACGTTGGATTGTGAGGCGTATGGGATCTTTGACATTGACAATGAAGATTTTGTAACTGAGGATCAGTTACTATTTGCTGATTATGGTGATGGTTCGTTTGCTGTGGGTGTCTACGGCAGATCCACAGTTTCATTTGGAAACGCCACTTTGGAAGGGTTCATGTTTGGTGTTGCAAACCTTTCTAATTCTAGTGTCCCAGTTTGTGGTCTATCATTTGAAGTGAGCGAGTTTTCATTAGATCCTGAGATGTCTACTGACAGTCCTGGTGGTTCGTTTATGTATCAAAACCTTCCATCTGCTATGAAACAAACAGGTTTGATCAAGAGGACAGCGTTCTCATTATGGATTGACGGTGAATCATCCGAGGGATACATTCTGTTTGGTGCCATAGACCATTCCAAGTATTCTGGTGAGCTTGTGACTCTACCATTGTTGATTACCGACAATTCTTCACAACCAAATGCTTACCAGGTGAGCCTTAATACCGTCATATTATCAGATGGAGACAGCGAGGTGGATGTCATGGTCAATGAGACATCTGTATTACTCGATTCTGGTACATCTGAAGCATATCTACCAAACGATGCTGTTGAAAATATGGCCGAGGCCCTGAGTGCAAAGTACTCGGATGATCAGGGCACTTACGTGCTGGACTGTCCAAAGGAATCAACCAATATTACTATTACATTCACTTTTGATGGCATTGACATACAGATTCCTTTGGAGAGTTTCTTATCGGCAACTGACAGCTCAGGAGAGAAATGTGCTTTGATGATATACCCAGGTGGTGGTAATAATATCTTGGGTGATGTTTTCTTGCAGAATGTGTACGTTGTCTTCGATCAAGATGGTCTGCAGGCCAGAATTGCACCTGTGGATAACAACAACGACAGTGCTGACATTGAAATCCTTGATTCCGTGAAGACTCCAAGTGGTGGCTATAACAACGAAACACTTACTGCAACTGCATCATGGGATGGAACATTGGCAACTACTGAAGATCAGGCAATCACCAAATCTTTGTCGAGCTATCTTTCTTCAGACTATGGATTGTCAACATCCGAATCTGCTACGGCATC